GTGGAAGGATGTAATCTTTTAAAGAGAACAGTAGCGTGTACAAAGGCACAGACGTAGAGATGCATGGTACCTTCTAGAACATCTGAGAAGGCCAGTGTTGCCAGAGGGTAGAAAGCAAGGAGGATTGTGGTACAAAATGAGGCTGAAAGAGAGGAAGGGGACAAGATATGACCAGATTTTGGTATGTATCTTAAAAAAATTGAAGAAAACATTGAAGGCTTCATGCAAAGAAATGTCATAGAGATTCTGTCTACAAAGATCAATCCAGTTGCTGTGTAAACAAATGCATATAGGAATTAATGCTCCCAACCATTCTTTGTACTGAAATAAAACTCTCCAGTGGCCCGGTTCTAGAAAAGCCCAAGAAAAATAAGACAAAATAATGTTAGAGCATGCCTGGGAGGAGGTGTTTAGTGCCTTGAACCTGTGGCAAATGATTGAAAATACTTGCTATATGCCTGTATTAGTCAGGGTTAAGTACAGTTGCAACTGACAGAAAACTTTAAAGATTTAAAGTATCGAATTTTCCTATAAGATGTCATCTGAATTAAATATGAACACTGCAATGTAGGGATCAGGAGACAATAAATGTTATTGTCAGAAAATACAAGAGGCCTTAGGGAAAATGTAGGACCCAGAATGACCATCTTTAAAGATGGATTTTCTCTTTTTATTCTTGATTGTTTGTTGAGAAGGGAAAACCCAGGACATTCCATCTTATCTCAGGCTTACATGTATGGCTTCAAACTGTATAAGTTGGAGGATCTTTGCTTATTCTCACTATGTGCTTCTTGAACTACGACATAAATAAATGCTATAGTCACAGCTGCAGATAATTTTAACCAAGCTACAATATTGGTTACTCTTTCTGTATGCTGAGACCTTAGAGTCCAGACTGAAGCCTTTGAACACATTATTTCAGTACCTAAGCTGCTTTGGAAAGAGTCCAAACTAAATGATTACTAAATCTGCTCTACAGTTCCAGCATGGTGGTATTAAATGCGGTGAGGATTACAGAATCTTATTCCTCTCTCTGACTCAGGTTAATATGCAGCATGAAGCAAACTTCCAGACATACACACTTTTCAAATACACTAGTATTGGATGCCAGTAATTGTGCCAGACCAGAGAAATCAATGGTGTAGTAGTGGGTACCTGCATAGCAATTTACAAGGTTAATGAGGAGGCTTTAATTTGAGTAAGTACAAGCCGCTGCTCTCTCCCTTTGTTACTCATCCTTTCTAAACTCAACAATTCCCCACGGAACAGACCCAGTCCTCTCCTTCCCAAACGAGTTTTCATGACCTAGATGTTTCTCTATCCCTTATTCATCATAATGGCATACCCTTCATCTCGTTACTTCATTATCCTGATGATATTCCTTGAAAAGGTCTACATTCTCACTTCATCTCATTTTCTCCTCAATTTCTCACTCCTCTAAAATATGACTTCTGTATGCAACATTCTACTGATGCTGCTTCTGTGGAGTGCACAAATGACCTAATTAAAAAGCACTATGGTCACTTTTCTGCCCTTATCTAAGTGAAGTTTTTTTATAGCATACGGATAAGTCCCTTCATTTTGAAATTATATTCACCCTGATATAAAATCCTCCTCCTGCTCCTCTTTGTACAGATGGTTGAATCAAATAACTCCTGCAAAAGAGAACGTCAGATAATAAGCTCAGTTTGTGTTGCTAGCAGCCATATCTCTGGATGGTACTACTTATCCAAAATAGGCCATTATTCACGGATGACGTGAAAGTGTTGATGTGTAAGGATGAAGTAGCTCAAGACTGCTTACATGGCTATGACTCTATTTAGCATAACTGATAATATTTTACAAGACATAATAACATTTAAATGTATATTTGTATGTGTAATTGATAGTGTTCTTCAATAACTATGAAAAAGCTTTTAATTGTTTATTGTAATCCAATAATGTGATCTTGTCCACGTACGCTGTAGCTACTATAGTAATAAAATTACTTGGGTTCTTTTAAAGTTATTTATATAATTCTGTGTAATTTGCATAATGGTTAGTTACCTAAGTATGAGTTTTGCTAGATAGTTAATTTCTTGTAGAGACAAGAATCGTCTTTGTTTATCCTGGCACACCTTAAGGACTCTTGGATGTAGTAGGTTTTCAATTCAATAAATTATATTGAATTAAAATGCTAGGCAGCTTTTTAAAGTAGAAGCAAGATTTAAAAGATCCTTTACAGTAGTGAAATCCCCATTAGTCTTGTGATATTCACCTAAAACTGCAGTGTTCGTTTTATGGCCAACAGTATTGCATTACAGATTCTCTAATAACTAGGAGATACAAATCATAGCCAGGTGTGGAATTAGTATGACTTGACTTGTGTGACTTTCTAGTTTATATAACAGCTAAGTTACATAATCATAGATTCAACAGCAGTATTTTATCTTGAGTTACAGTATATTCCCAACTATCTTGGCAAATAAATAAGACACACACATCTGAGTAGCAATGAATAGGAGAGCATATTAAAATCAAACACAGCTTATAAAAGAATCCAAGTTTTTAGCCGGGCTCTGAAACTATACCTGCATGTCCTTTGCACTGCATTGAAAAAATGCCATTTATTCCTGACTATGATTAACGGCTTTTTTAAGGCAACCAACTTTCTCTGCCACTTAACAAAGATTGTGTCCTATGCTTTTGTCTTATTTCAAGTCTAGTGTCCATGTGTAAATCTGAAAATATAGATAACGAAGATAACAAAATGTTGAATTTGAATTATAATTTTGTGAATAATAATAATTTTGCAAGTCTGAATCTTTCAATATCTGTTATGCAACTAGGAACATATATAAATCTCATCAGAAGATGTGCGGCTCTACATTCTGTAAAAGTCCTCTAGGCAGGAAAATAACAACCTGGATGCCTAGTACTGACATGCAGCCTGATAACCACATGATAAAAAAAAAAAAAGGCAATATCTAGAGAACTGTGCCAAGCTGTGAATTGATCCCAGGGAGCAGGAAGGCTACTTCAATGTGTGTGGCCAATATTTATCATTTTTACAACACTAAAAAAATCAAACAAACAAAAAGTATTTGAATTATTTTGGTATGACAATAAACAAAAGGCGAACAAGGAAAAGTAAGATGTCAATTGATATTTTTAAAAATAACATGTTCATAGGTGTCAAAAATGACTAAAAGGAACATTGCCTCACTTCCTATCAGAGAGCAAGTCACAGTAAAAGAACAAATGAGGCAAGAATACGTACATTAAGATAAGACTTACACTATCATGTTACAGATGCATCGAACAGGAAACAAGGTAAAGAGTACTGGATTTGGAGAGGGGGGATCTAGGTAAGATTTGAAAAGATAATTACAGGTATACATCACAAAAGGAAAGACTAAATGGAGCAATAGATATACCAGAATAATTATATAGTAATTAACATGCCCTCTTTTTTCCTCTTTGGGGAATTTTTTTCATTTAAATAAAAATGAATCTTGACTGCCACAGTATTTCATTTGGCAGGATATCAGGTAATTTATATTTCAAATATGATCTCATCATCAGTTCCATCTGTTGATATTAACTGAGCATCCGTAATGTTTGAAACTCTGACATGTAGAAAAGATACCTAAAAATCAAAATCCTTAAATCTGAGACACTCACATAGCAATCAGAAAACTGAATAAATGTGCTCTTATCTTGCCAGTGCAGTGTATTTACTTTAAGTCTTCACTTTTAATCCACCCAGCTCTCCACTCTAACTCCAGGGACCCAGGGAGGGTAGAAACTATAGGCAACTGCTATGGAATGAGCTCAAATAAGTGTTAGACCTTCTTAAACAGGACTAGCACATTTTTTTATGCTAAGTCACAAGGGGAAAAAAGTAACTGGCTAACAGGCTCAGATCCTAGCCAATCCTTGTTTAAGGCAATTCATAGATTCGAAGAATCTTTTCCCTTTCTCTCACATTCCAATTCAAAGCTGAGAGCTGGAAAAAGCAAGACTTCAAGAAAATATTGACATGAAGAAATACTCCAAGTGCTGGGTTCCTGAATTTGCCCCTTCTTCCTTAACTCAGATACTAAGATCTGTGACTTCCCTTCCACAAGCAAAGAGATCTAGACCAAGAACAGGGTAGAGACCATCCCATTCTCTCTGGGAGGCTGTCTCCAGCTAATAAACATCCCTCCTTTTTCCGCAATCCTGAATGCGCCTTCTCAACCTTCCAGACCCAATTTAAGTTGTTTCTCCTCTCTGGTGATTTTTTCTTGTCCCATCCAGGCACATTTAACCAAACCTTCCCTTGGGCCAACACTTTAGCTTAAGTACAGCTACGATTACACTTTTTAAAACTAAGTTGCATTTGTTTATTTGAATGTCTGTCTCCTTTACTAGATTACGAGTTTGAGTGCCCAGGGCTTCACCTAGTGGTCATTCAATCCACTGCCAATCCTATCAAGAGAAGAAGAATTAAATAATACCTTCTCCATTTACAATAATGGATCCTCAATAAACACTGTTGTTCTGTTTCTTTTACATCCTCTCTTCCATAGTTGAACCCAAAAATGTTGTTACTACCTTGCTTAAGGGGACAGTCAAAACAGTTGTTCAAAATTAATTCTGCCTAGTGAGTAAAATAACAAAAAGAGTTAATGAAATTGTTATTGACTACAAGTGATGCTGGATTTGGTTTTTGGTTTATCTCACCAAAAATGTGTCTAGACCACTGTAATAACCTCCAGCAGAGACATTTTGAGAACTTACTCAAGGTATGGTGTTGCTACTTCGTTCAAGTAATATTTTAAGGGATGTTGTTGCCCTGAGTCAAAAAAGCAAGACAAATGATTTGGAAATAACCACTCAGATTTTTAAATTTCTAAGCATTCATTGTATATTTTGGAACATAAAAATGTTGATGTAGACTCAGTGCCTGCACAAGTTATTAAAAGAGAGTAAAAGCATGTTTTTAGTAATTCTTCTGGATGTTTTTTCCCCAATAGGATACTCAATACTTCAAGCTATTATGGAAAAAGCAGGACAAAATGGTTGGCATGTCAGCGCTATATGTGTGGAAAATTTTAATGATGTCAGCTACAGGCAACTTCTAGAAGAACTTGATAGAAGACAAGAGAAGAAATTTGTGATAGACTGTGAGATAGAGAGGCTTCAAAACATATTAGAACAGGTAAGTCCTGGATTTTACATTATTATTATCCTAGACCTTCTACAAAAAGTTGACCTTTGATTTACTTGTCCCCATCAATATCTTCTTCCAATCATTTAGCCTGAAGTGTGGAGTTTGGGAGTTTTCATTCCATGATTTATCTCCAAGACTAAATTATAATCCTCTATCACCAAAGGCCATTTCGGTTCTTAGGTCTCAATGCAATTAAGAGTACTATTTTTCACACATTTTAAGACATACAATATAAAGGACATTTTTTATGAATTATCAAGAGTTCTTGGCCTCCTATTTTCATAAACATTAATTCTAAAGATTAATGCTATCTAAAATATTAGAAAATTTTAATATTTGTGACTATGTGCTTTTTCTAACCTTTAGAGAAATAGCTACATAAGAAATAGCAACATGAATTAGTAAGCGATGAAATAAAAGAAAATTAAGAGATATACTCTATATAGCATATTTTCTTCTAGATATTGTAAGTAAATACATTACCACCACAGTGAAGATGATTTTCAACTCTCTTCACAAAGGAAGAATCCCTGAATAAAGTTTTCAATAAATATTTGTTGATTGGTTTTAAAGCAGACAAGAAAAGATAAAATTGAGCTTTGTCATTGTGTTAAATGATAAGAAAATATCATCAAATAATACATAACATTTGCTTTCTCCCTAACCCTACAGTATCATGATAAAGCCTTGAAAGGCTGCATATGGCCGAAATTGCAGTGAATGAATGCCATCTAGTGGTTTTAGAAATATTTGCTCATATTTATCTACAATATGTTAGGTTGGCTAGAGAATATCTTAGTATGATGTTTTATTGGTTAGTTGCTACATATAGTTTATTTGTATAATTAAATGATCTGATTTATAGTAGTTAATGTACCAATTTGGAGATTTATTTATAAGAATAACTTAAGTACTCAAATACAAAAATCAAAACCAACTTATGTTTCAGAGATTCTTCTTTAATATCAAAGGACACTAAACCAAATGCCTTAAGTTTCCTTCCTCGACTATATTAGAATTTGTAAAAGTTAAAAGTAAAAAAAACATGCGGTATTTCTTTTAAAGGTCTAGAGAAGAATGACTATACTGTAAGAGGAAATGACAGAATATTCACCTCCTGTTATCCTTTTATAGAAGGAAAAAAAACCACTTGATTGAAGAAATATGTTTATATTACATTGGAAAACATTAATTATAAACCTTTACATCACTCAGGTATATTCCTGAGGGAGTCCAAAAAATCATTAAGGTTGTAATTATCAAGGTATATGAAATTTTTTAATGTGTATTTATGGAATCCAAGAAAAAACTTTCTCTTCTACTTCAGCTCAAACTCTCATTCTCCCTCCCTTCCACTCATGCCACTGTGTTGAGTTTGAGTTGTTTGACCTGAACAACTGAAGCTTTGTAAATAACTCCTCATGAATCCCACAGAGCAGTCAATTCTAAGAACTGCCTGGATTGCCAAGTTTCTGTCAGAGGGTGAGTAAGGCTCAGAAAGACCCTCCACTTAGCACCTGTGCTTAAAGGATCGCATCTAGAGAAGGCAATTGAGTCCTAAAGCACACTGACCCATTTCAGAGGCTTAGCTGGTTTCTAAGAAGAAAATCGGCACGCCCGGGTGCTTTGGATAAACTCTTTGTATAAGCCTTAAATAAGCTCTTGCTAAGGGAACTGGACATCTTTTTTTTGTCCTTCAAAGAAATTATTTTTCTTTTTTTTCCAGCTTTCTTGAGATATAATTAACATATAACATTGTGTAAGTTTAAGATGTACAAGGTGATGATTTGATACACCTAATATATTGTGAAATGATTGCCACAGTAGAATTTGTTAACACCTCCATCACTTTGCATAATTACTCTTTCTTTTTTGTGGTGAGGAAGTTTAAGATCTGCTGTTAGCAACTTTCAAGTATATAATACAGCACGAATAACTATAGTCCGTGCTGTGCATTAGATCTCCAGAACTTATTCATCTTTTAACTGGATTTTTGTACTCTGGAAACTTGAGTGTCTGTCTTTTCTATTCCTCTTGCTGAATTCTAAAGGATTTCTTTTCTGTCATGACTGCATAGTAATAATGAGACTAGTAATAGATCTTTGTCCCTTTAAAATGCCTCTTAGGTATAAATCTCATAAATTCTAACAAAGTTTACTGTATTGTGAGAATATAATGTACCCTTAATTGTCTTATAAAATTTCTCCCCAAGAAAAGCTGTTTTCTGATTCTGAATATGATTTTTTTTACTATCTATATTTTAATTCCTTGTAGCTCTAAGCAAAATCACTTTTAATGTTCTTGGTTTTACTCTTGACTCATCTAAACACAAGAGCTAATCCAAACTTTGTCAGGAATTCATACATGTACTTCAATACCTCTCTGTTTCAACATCTTCTTTAATAAGTTGAAATAACGAAAGAAAACAATTTCAGAGAATAAATCAAAGCATTTTTTAAAAGTAAAATGCCAAATAATCTTGATCAGAAAAATGCCTTTGAAAAAAGTAGCCCTTTCTCAGAAGATGGTGAAATTAATACAGTGAAGATAAGGGGATGTGTTTGTAAATTTCTATAACAATGGGCACATTTTATATTCATATTATGGTGGCATGCTGTCAATAATTACTTCGCTGACATTTTAATTTGTATCAATTTTCAAAAACATAATGGAAATAGCTCACACAATTTTCTCTCAAAATATGTTAATTTTTGAGAGAATTTTGACAACCGTGGTTAGAGAAGCACTTCATCTTCTGTACATATCTTCCAAATTATTTTTATGCCATGAGCTAATTGGTTCTTATAAATGTATTGCTATTTAAAATAGCAGTTAGTCATATACTCATTCAAACATTTCATAATATAAGCTTCAAAACAAGTATTTGAAAATGTAGTTTAAGGTATATTGATTTTTCTGCCCTAAATTGCATCATAGGAAAAAAATGGAAGAATTTATGTAAAGATCACCCACTGAGCTATTTAAGGCAACAGAAACATAACAAAACTACAAAGTTAGATTTATTGTCATTTTGTTTGTATCAGGCTCCAATAAAACAAATTGCATTTTTGGCTTTCTAAATCCAATGGGCAATTTGGTCCACTCATCTGCAGAAAAAATTTTGAGAAGAAACTTACAACTAAAAATACCTTTTAAGTATTTATTGAATTTGCAATCAATTATTGATAGAAAGAGTCTCAATTTTTACTTAAATTAATATAACCATTTTGGATACTAGCATTATTCATCTCACTTAGTTTTCTTCCTCTAACTATACATCAACTATTTTATAGAATAACTCATCATAGCTTAATATAGCTGGAAGCAAATGAATTATTTTCACATCAAAATCAGTGGCTTACAGTGGAAGCCTTTTCATATATTATTTTATTTTCACACATATCCATTAACTTTAAACCCTGAACTTGATTGCTTATAAAGAGTCCCTAGGGACTCTATCCAATACCTTATCAATTGAACATCGATGTACCAGAATTTGATTCATATGTTTAATCCAGTAGCAAAAAAGCAACAACAAACTTGATCTTAACTGTCTTTCTGGCACCAAAAATTATTTGAGCAAAACAGCACTTAAGGCTAATGGTTGCCCACACATTTTACTCCACCATGAAAAAACCCAAGGGTCATGCAGCTAGATTTCTGTGTTCCTATAGTCAGTGAAACCCTCCTCTCATGAACATCCAATTCATCCTCTGGAATACAATCTTTACACTGGGCATGGGGAAGGCTTGTACTCTCGTCTACCTCTTTCTTTGGTCAATCGACTTATACCCCTCAAATTATGATGTTTCCAAAAAAAAAGATGAGTGTTTTCACTTTTTGAGATATGGATAAGAATTCTTCAATCGTTTATTTTTAAAAAGTAACTGGAATAAAAATGCCTATGATTCTTCTCTTCCTTACTTTAAATAAGGAGCATTGGGTGGAGATGATGTTGAAAAAGATCACTCTAAAAGTCAATAATGCTGTTTCCAATGAAGCCTCCCTGATAATTTCTTTTGATCCTGAAGCAACATATAATTTCACACATGGAACATACCTTGAAAGGAAGCATAAAGTAAAATCTCAGTGAAGTGATCTTTTCGGTATATTCATTCATTCTACAAATACTTATTGAGTGTCCACTTTAGGTCAGGCATTATAAAGGCTGAAGATAAAGTGATGAGCAAACAGATACATTTTCTGTTCTACTTAGTAACTCTTATCTGGTTAACTAAATTTTAAACCAAAAGCATTTGCTACAATCCTACTAAAACGTATTGTTTCCTTTAGAAATACAGTACATAGAAAGTGATCCAACATCTCATACAGCCTCAGGGATTTTGCTATGAGTGCCAGTTCTTGTTGAGTAGATGATGATATCAAAGACATTAGATAAGAAACTGGAACTCTATCGGCCTTATGACACACCATGGATGTATTTAAGGAATCTAACCAAGTATTCATCAGGAGAAGATGGCAAAGACTGACCTTATAGTGTGAAATAGATGTTTATCAAAAGGACAGAGAAAAACGGCTCTGCAATTGGCTCACAGTTATCTCAAATTGCCTCTTCATTGCATACCTCAAATTTCACTGGTTCCCCTTTCAGCAGTATTATCACTTTCACTATGTGAAAGGAAAATTCCATGTCTGGTTAGACACAATGCGAATCTCAGATAATTGGCAAACCCAGTGACCTTCCTATACTGTTTGCTAATTAATCACAAAGGCCTAAAAGCTGTGATTGACCTCTCAGATGTTTTTCACATCACCAAAGGAAGCCAATAATCCTACCTCAGGGCACAATCAATTAGAAAGAGGAAAATTCCTCACAAACAGAAACGCAGCCACATGCACAGAAGTGATGAAATGTAGGCATGGCCCCACTTAACTTATTCTAAGTCCAAGGCTGCCTCCTTGTCTAGTACAACCTAAGTGAGATGTCACATCCCAGACAGAAATTTTGTCAAATTGCCAAATGTGTC